TAGATCTCGGTCAAGAGCATCCCCTGTGAGCCGAAGGCGATCTAGGTCCAGAACACCACCAGTAACTCGCCGTAGGTCGAGGTCCAGAACACCAACAACACGTCGTCGCTCTCGTTCACGGACTCCTCCAGTGACTCGCAGAAGGTCCAGATCTAGGACTCCACCAGTAACCAGGAGGCGATCGCGAAGCAGAACTTCACCAGTTACTCGAAGAAGATCGAGATCCAGGACATCCCCAGTCACTCGAAGAAGATCTCGGTCTCGAACATCTCCAGTCACCCGGAGGCGGTCTCGTTCTCGAACCTCGCCAGTGACACGCCGACGCTCCAGGTCCCGAACTCCTCCAGCTATTCGGAGACGCTCTAGGTCCCGGACACCACTGTTGCCACGCAAGCGCTCTCGAAGTCGCTCGCCTCTTGCTATCCGTCGCCGTTCTAGGTCTCGTACTCCTAGAGCAACTCGAGGCAAGCGGTCTCTAACAAGATCTCCTCCAGCCATCCGTAGGCGGTCTGCATCTGGAAGTAGTTCTGATCGGTCACGTTCTGCCACTCCTCCAGCAACAAGGAATCATTCTGGATCTCGTACACCTCCTGTAGCACTCAGTAGCTCTAGAATGAGCTGCTTCAGTCGTCCTAGCATGTCACCAACTCCTCTTGACCGATGTAGATCACCTGGTATGCTTGAACCCCTTGGCAGTGCTAGAACACCCATGTCTGTCCTACAGCAGACTGGTGGCTCAATGATGGATGGTCCAGGTCCCCGGATTCCTGATCATCCGAGAACATCTGTTCCAGAGAACCATGCTCAGTCTAGAATTGCACTTGCCCTGACAGCTATCAGTCTTGGCACTGCCCGACCACCTCCGTCTATGTCTGCTGCTGGCCTTGCCGCAAGAATGTCCCAGGTTCCAGCTCCTGTACCTCTCATGAGCCTTAGAACAGCCCCAGCTGCCAACCTTGCCAGCAGGATTCCAGCAGCATCTGCAGCAGCCATGAACCTTGCCAGTGCCCGGACATCTGCTATTCCACCATCAGTGAACCTTGCTGACTCAAGAACACCAGCTGCAGCAGCAGCCATGAACTTAGCCAGCCCTAGAACAGCAGTGGCTCCTTCAGCTGTGAACCTTGCTGATCCTCGAGCCCCTGCAGCTACAGCTGTGAACCTCACGGGAGCTAGAACACCAGCTGCATTGGCAGCTTTGAGTCTCTCAGGCTCTGGGACACCCCCAACTGCTGCAAATTATCCCTCCAGTTCCAGAACACCCCAGGCTCCTCCTCCTGCAAACCTGGTGGGTCCTCGATCTGCACATGGCACAGCTCCTGTGAATATTGCTGGCTCTCGAACCCCTGCATCCTTGGCTCCTGCAAATCTCTCAAGTGCCAGGATGGCTCCAGCCTTGTCTGGTGCAAATCTCACCAGTCCCAGGGTGCCCCTTTCTGCTTATGAGCGTGTCAGTGGCAGAACCTCACCTTTACTGCTTGACCGAGCCAGGTCCAGAACACCACCATCTGCCCCAGGCCAGTCTAGGATGACCTCTGAGCGGGCTCCTTCCCCTGCTTCAAGAATGGTCCAGGCTCCTTCGCAATCTCTTCTCCCTCCAGCACAGGATAGACCTCGGTCCCCTGTGCCATCTGCCTTTTCAGACCAATCTCGTTCAGTTGCCCAGACCACTCCTGTAGCAGGGTCTCAGTCCCTTTCATCTGGGACGGTAGCAAAGTCCACATCCTCTGCTAGTGATCACAATGGCATGCTTTCTGGCCCTGCCCCTGGGGTGTCCCATGCTGAAGGTGGGGAACCACCAGCCTCTACTGGGGCCCAGCAGCCTTCTGCATTGGCTGCTCTGCAACCAGCAAAGGAACGTCGGAGCTCTTCCTCCTCTTCATCGTCATCTAGCTCCTCCTCTTCCTCATCTTCATCCTCCTCCTCCTCCTCTTCCTCTGGCTCAAGTTCTAGCGACTCTGAGGGCTCCAGCCTTCCTGCTCAGCCTGAGGTGGCACTGAAAAGGTGAGGGAGTTAAGGAATCTAGGGGGAAGGTATTTACAGTGGGTGGGGAAGTTGGGAGGGAGAAAAAACTTTAAAGAAGCACTCGAAACTTTGGGGGACCTTGACCTTCAAGTTGGGAGTAGAAAGAATGCTGGGTGGGGGCTTCGTGGGGAGGAATGGGACAGATAAAAGTCTCCACAGGTTAATTCTCTAGAGGATAATGATAAGTTTTCCATCTCTACAGAGGACAGAACTAGAGGAAATGGACTTAATTTTACAGCAGGAGGGATGGCAGTTAGATCTCAAGAGGAACTCCCTGGGCTGGAAGGATCTTCAGAGGTCATCCCATCCCTCTCCCTGCCTCCAGGCAGGACGGCCCTTCCCCTGCCAACCTGCACTCACAGGGGTCTCCCCAAGCTGCGGCTCTCCAAGGACGGAGACCACCCAGCTTCAACTTCCACATCTGAGTCCAGGGGCTTTATTCCTTCATCAGGGACATTCTTGAGGTTTAACCTTGATCCCTTGTGCTTCGGGCCCCAGCCTGTTGCTTGTGTTAGCAGAGGTTTGGTCAGCTCTGTGCCACTGCTCCAGAGAAGTGCTTACTGGCCTGCCTTCGAGTATTCCCAGGGCCTTTCTCAGGCACCCCTCCTCCACTGCCGTTCCTCCAGGCCAAGGAAGGTAGGGTTGGGGCTGGGGCATCTTGTCAACTTCTGACACCTTTCTTTTCTCTCACAGGGTCCCCAGTCCCACCCCAGCCCCAAAGGAGGCTGTGCGAGAAGGACGCCCTCAGGAGCCAACCCCAGCCAAACGGAAGAGGCGCTCTAGCAGCTCCAGTTCCAGCTCCTCCTCCTCCTCTTCCTCCTCCTCCTCCTCCTCTTCTTCCTCTTCCTCCTCCTCCTCTTCCTCTTCTTCCTCTTCTTCTTCCTCCTCTTCCTCTTCCTCCTCCCCCTCCCCTGCTAAGCCTGGCCCTCAGGCCTTACCCAAACCTGCAAGCCCCAAGAAGCCACCCCCTGGCGAGAGGAGGTGAGTGCTTCCTTGCCTGTTGTGGAAAGGGGGTTGGGGGTGAGTTCTCCAGAAAAGGGACCCTGGGTGAGGTTCCTGCTGGGGTGCCTCGTGTGGACGTCTGTGTCTGGTTGTACGGGAGGAGTCCGACATTCCTCTTATCCTCCCACAGTGTTGTGTTCTGGTCAAGGGCTGCACTATCCAACTGAGGGCCCAGGCCAGAACTGGGAAGTCGTAGGATTCTTCCTCCCTCTCCCCTCCCCTGACAAGCAGCCTGGTCTCAGAGATTCTAGCTCTAAGTTTCCCCATTGCTGCTGCAGGGCTCTGGTCTGGCCACCGTCATCTTCTCCCGACTCTGTCCACAGCCTCCTCCCTGTCTCCCTGCCTCCACGCCATTCTCTTCCACACGTAGCCAGAGGGATCTTTCTAAAACGCACATCTGGTTACTTCCCTTCACTCCACAAATCCTTCCGGGACGCCCTGTGGCCTGCAGGATAAAGTGCCACCTCTGCAGGAATGGCGTGTGAGGCTCTTCACCAGCTGCCCTTGCCCGCCCTGTGTTCCTCCTGCCCGCCCCCACACATGCCCTGTGCTCCGGTCATACCCAGCGCCTTGCAGTCTTAAGGAGAGCCCCATGCCTTTGGACATGCTGTTCCTTCTGCCTGGGATTTCCTTGTCTGCCTGGTGAATTCGTTCTGCAAGACTGCACCCAAACAGCACCTTCGAGAAGACTGCCCTGCCATTTCCCTGCCCTGCCCAGGTCCCCCCATCCTTGCTCGGATCCTCAGGCCCATGCACATCCATCCCTGCTGGCCTGTTTCCTATATAGGAGGCATGTGTGCCTTCATTGTTGATCTCCTTCACTCCCAAACAAAACTCCAAGGACAGGGACTCTTTTATCTTTGCATCCCCCGCTGTGCCCTGTCCACTGGGGGCACTCGGTGGATGGTGTGCGGGCGGATGGGTGAGTGCGGACAAAGGTGGGTCTGAGGCTGGCCCTGTGTGGTGTGAGGTTTGGTGGTCAGGACCTGGGTGGGTGGTCCTGAATGCTTGGCTGGTGGGTTTGGGAGGACATGGTGCTATAGAGGCCTACTCTGCTCCCTAGGTCACGCAGCCCTCGAAAACCAATAGACTCCCTTCGGGATTCCCGATCGCTCAGTTACTCACCTGTGGAGCGTCACCAGCCCTCGCCCCAGCCTTCACCAAGGGATCAACAGAGGTAGGGCACATAGCAGGTACTATTAATCTAGCTCACCTAGCCACCAATGAAAAAACTTGTTGGTACTGTTCTAGTGCCTAATTTCTATTCTCTTATAGCAGTGAGCGAGTTTCCTGGAGAGGCCAGCGTGGGGACAGCCGTTCTCCTGGGCACAAGCGCAGGAAGGAGACACCCAGTCCCCGACCTAATCGCCACCGTTCCTCCAGGTCTGTCTCCTTGGAAGCCTAGTCCTTGTGAGAATTAGAAGTTAGTTGAGACTGTTTGAAGTGATGCATTGACCAATCTTCTGTTTCAGGTCTCCATAATCTGGATTCCACCACACTCATGCTCTGGAGACATGAGTATTCCTCATTTTTCCCAGAAGAATCATGGAAGGAGTCTTTGTCTGCCTTCCCTTGAACCTTGGCAGCATCTTGAGGGGAGGGCTTCCCCCCCCCTTTTTTTTTGTTCCTGTGAAATGTTGATCTCTGTGAGTTTTTCCTGGTTCATATGTTTTGGGGGGTTGGAGGGGGAGGGAATGAGTTTGGGGAGGGAGGGGCACAGTTCAGGAAATTGTAATGATCCAGGAAGCTGTTCCTGCTCAAGTTCCTTGGGGTGACTGATGTTTTGGAACTTGGTAAGTCACATGTTCTTGGAAGAGGAAGGAGTTAATTTTGGAGGAGTTGCTGCACCCCCCCTTCATAAGGTTGTGACACCCCTCCCCCCAACTTCCATGTTTCTTAATGCATTTTGGTTTTTTAAAATCTGTACAGCAAAAGCAACTTTTCTGTCAAATAAAAAATGAGAAACACAGTAATTGGGTCTACAATCTTTATTTGTGGCTAGATTTTTTTTTTCCAAGAGTTTCCTTGCTCAACAGGCTGGCCTGGGGGACTGGGTTTTCAGTCCTAGTGCTCTGTTTGGCCTGTGGGACCTGAGCCACAGAGACTACAATACAGGATAGCCTTAAGCTTTTGAGTGAGCAAGTAGAACCTATAATGTAAGAAGAGGGAACAAAGTCAGCAGCCAGGTGGACAGCCAAATCATCTTTATTGAGGGAATGGGTCTTTAGGAGTGGGGGTGGGCCTGGGCCCTCACTGCACAGCTTGTTCATTGGCACTGCCTCCAGAATCCTGTGGCTTCATCACATCTGGAAGCTCTGGAGGGCTGGAGAAGGGCTCAATGCGCAGTGCTTCAAAGGCATCATCTGTGGAAGGGAAGAAGAGCTTAAGATGCCTTGTGTTTCCTTTCACTTGGAAGGATGGTCTTTTAAAATACCTTTCAAAATACCAACAAAGTAATCTGTCCCCAGAGGCCTAATTTTACCACTGACCCCACTAGGACAGTGACTACCTTCTGTCCCCAAATTGCCATTACCTTCCACCAGCATCTCAATTCCTTTGATACTAAATGACTGAAGACTATTTTCTTTGCTTAAGACTTACTTGTACTGTTCATGTTGACCACACACACATATCACAAGACTTGAGCTGGACAGAGAGGACTCAGTGCTTAAAGAGTACGTGTTGCATTAGGCATGGTGGCGTGCACTGTTAATTCCAGCACATGGGAGGCAGAGGCAAGCAGACTTTTGAGAGACCTGAGTTCAAGGCCAGCCAGGGCTGATAACAAAACCCTGTTTCAATGAAAACAAAACAACCAGAGTGCACGTTGCTCTTGCAGGGTACCTGGGACATGGCTGCTCACTAACTGCCTAAGCCAGTTTTCAGGAGATCTGACAACCGTCTTGACATGAGAGCACCAGGCAGGCACAATACATAGATACCACACCACATCAACTTCTTTATGACCCAAGGCAGCCTTTGCACTTTTGGGTCCTAAAGTTGCCAATACTAGGTAGCTGCTGGGTATTCACAGTGGGATTCAATTCAAATGTTACCTCAGAGTATTGTGCCTTGGGAACTTAAGTATTACCACTGGCTTTAATTGTCCCAGACTCTTCAAACTTGCTAATTTAGACTTGGAAGTGGTGGGATTACCTGATTTTTTTTGTTAATGCAGTGTCGGGGATCAGACCCTCAGCTTCATGCTGTCAGGTAAGCAATACTCTCAACTTAGCCCTATTTTCAGTGCCTATTGTTGACTCCATACAAAAACAAATGAACCTTTATACCACACATCTCTCCTGGCTTATACCAACCTAGAAACTTCTGGTCTGGCTCTCAATTTTCAACTGATGAGTTATTCATGCATGTCTGGAGATACTTTTGGTTATAACTAGGTAAGGAGGTAGGGAAGAGCTGAGACTGCTACCAGGAATTCAAGGATGCTGACAAGCTAGCATGTGAGTGTTTGGACCCAGGTGCTCTGTAAGAACAGCATGCACAGTAAACCATTCTGGACACAACACCAGTGGTGCTGAGGTAGAGGCAGGCTGAATTTGAGGGTAGCCAGAATTACGCAAACCCTGTGTGAGGAGACAGAGCTATCATCTATTGCTACAAACCTACAATGATACTTAACTATTTCCCTCATTCTTGATATGGGTCTAGTTAAAAATGCCATTTAATGGGGCTGGAGAGAAGGTTCGGTGGTTCTTTCAAAGGTCCTGAGTTCAATTCCCAAGAACCACATGGTGGTTTAGAGTCATCTGTAATGAGATCTGGTGCACTCTTCTGGCCTACAGACAGAACACTGTATAAATAATATCTTTCTAAAAAAAAAAAAAAGCCTATTATCAGTTAGCATTAGGGAGAAGCTTGCTTTATCCTTCAGCATGGACACTGAGTGAAGAGATAGGGATAGTACCTAATTAGGTCCAAAAGCCCATGCTGACAGCTGCTTCTAGAAGTATTTCTGCAAATTTGTGAGGTATACAACCCTGAACATCCTGTCACAACATATATCCGCCAGAGGATAATACAGAGCCTTTTGGTCCAGAGTTGCCTCCATATCCAGAGCCATATCAGATATGTGTATATGTGTGTGTGTGTGTGTGTATATAAATATATAAAAATAAATATATATAAATATATGTGTGTGTGTGTGTGTGTGTGTGTGTGTGTATATATATATATATATATATATATATATATATATAAAGGTCCCTTTTCTTAGCTTTGATATAACTATAAAATAGGGCTAGCAATGTCTTCTAGGACAAGGTTTGCCTTCAGGGTAACTAGGTTTTGCTTGAAGAAAAAGGGTGATTTGAGAGAATACAACCTGGCCTTAGCTTAAAAAGCAGACAAGTGTTTTCAGCCTCATGAGCCCATTGAAAGTGAAGCTCATTTGACATCTGGTCTGTGGATCTTCACCAGCCCTACAAGTGTCCCACCAATGTTATCTAACAGGCAGTCATCTCAGCGCAGATTCTTTTAACATGGGGCACTTAAGGCAGGCCCTGCCTGAGTGCCCTGTGGACAGGGGAACTACAAGCTAGGTGGTACAAGAGTGCAACTGGCTATGCATGAGGATAGGACTTGCTGAGATTTCCTTGATAAAGACTAAGAAGTATAATGAGAACTACACACTTCCTGTCTTAGCCTTTGGTTCTATTTTGTTTTTCAAGTTAAAAAAGGTACTTCCTGTCACATTCAAAGATTTTCCTCTATGTGTATATGGCTTGTGCCTATGAAGGTCAAAGGAATTGGATTTTCTGGAACTGGAGTTATGGGTAGTGGTGAGCTGTGGATACTGGGAACTCAATTCAGGTCCTTGGCAAGAGCCAGTGTTAACTGCTGAACCATTTCTTCACATTTCTTGTCCATAGGGTCCTTGGATCCACAGCTTAAAAATAAGCCCTATGATCCTTGTTTAAATTCCAAGAGACAAAGAATAAAATATTAAATCTCTTCCTGCCCCCTAAGTAGAGTCTCTACAAGCCCTGGCTGTCCTGGAACTCTCTGTAGACCAGGCTGGTCTCTGCCTGGGATTAAAGGCAGGTACCACCAGTCTGGCACATGATCTACAACATGTGCTTCTAACTATCCCAGCTCACTAGTCCTTAAAATCTGGCACATTACTTCTGGGCCCGGTGGTCCACATCTTTATTTTTTATTTTTCGAGACAGGGTTTCTCCGTAGCTTTTTGGTTCCTGTCCTGGAACTAGCTCTTATAGACCAGGCTGGCCTCAAACTCACAGAGATCCGCCTGCTTCTGCCTCTGGAGTGCTGGGATTAAAGGCGTGCGCCACCACGTCCGGTCAGTCCAAACCTTTTAATCTAAAGCCAAGGCAGGTGGGTAGGAGTTCAAGGCCAGGGCAAGTTCCAGGACAGTCAAGGCTATACAGAGAATCCCCCCCCCCCAAAAGATGAGATGGGATGATTTATATAACGTACAGGGCCAAGTATTCAATAAATCTTGTAAATGTGCTGGTACTAGGAATCTGAAAGTCATCTTTAATTTCCACATCTCCTGTGTTTCATCCCCCCACCCCATAGGGTTTTGTCCCAGAACTAGCTCTGTAGTCCAGGCTGGCCTTGAACTCAAAAGAAATCCACCTGTCTCTGCCTCCCAAGTGCCTGTTTCAATATTTCTAAAATTATTTTTTATGTGGATAGTTGTTTTGTCTGCATGTAAGTCTGTTCCATATGCATGCTTGGTGTGTCAGATCCACTGGAACTGGAATAACAGTTCTGATCTGCCATGTGGGTGCTAGGAATAAAACCCAAGTCCCCTGGAAAAACAGCCAGTGATCTTAATTGCTGAGCTATATTTTCAGTCCCCAAGCTTTGCTTTTTAATAAGGAAACAAATACCTCATGCTCTTTGAGGACTGGGAAGATATTCCCTCAAAGCTCTGAGGAACTACAGTCTCCCCAAAGTCCCTTCTTTGGATGTTGGCAGACTGCTAGCTGCTATCCAGGTTAGCCATCTTACCTGCTCGAAAGGCCAGGCCCACTGTGGCTGGGGCCTGTGGCCGTGCTGTCTGGCTAGTGAAGCCACACTCGCCCAGAGTTTTTCCATCATCAAGGAGCTGGTCATCCTGAAGAGAGAAGCAGGTTTGGGGGAGAGGTTCTAAAAGGGACAAATCCAAGAAAGCCTTCTGCTCAGCATGTCAGCAACTATGTTGAGGAGTCATCCCTAAGTAAAACACACATTCTAGAACTATTGCCAAGAATTTCCAAATCTGCCTGGAATGGTGGGGCTCATAGTGGTTACAAGCTCTGGCAGAGAATCCCAAGTTCATTTTCCAGCACCCATATAGATTGGCTCACAACTTCAGTTCAATGGAATTCTGATGTCTTCTGGTCTCTGCAAGCACTTGGACTGTGTGTGGGCATGTATCACACAAATATAAAACTCACAAAGGCTCTGGGTTCTTTTTCAAGCTCTCTAGGTAAATCTAACTGAAAAAGGTAGCTGGGTGCTTATTTTCTTATTTTTTGGAGATAAGATCTCATACATTTTATGCTCTTCCTGCCTCTACCTCCCGAAAAGGATTATTTACCAATTTTTCCAGGCTGATGATTTAACCTAGGGATTCATGCAGGCTATGTCAGCACTAAACAGAGCTGAGTCTGTTTGTTTATTGTTTTTCTAATCAACCTTCACCTTAAAATGTATGTTTCGTGCCGGCGGTGGTGCACACCTTCAATCCCAGCACCAGGCAGAGGCAGGCAGCTCTCTGTGAGTTCGGGGCCAGCCTGGTCTATAAGAGCTAGTTACAGGGCAGATTCCAAAGCTACAGAAAAACCAGGTATCGAAAATAAGAACAGCTGGGCGGTGGTGGCGTACGCCTTTAATCCCAGCACTCGGGAGGCAGAGGCAGGCGGATCTCTGTGAGTTCGAGACCAGTCTGGTCTACAAGAGCTAGTTCCAGGACAGGCTCCAAAACCACAGAGAAACCCTGTCTCGAAAAACCAAAACCAAAAAAAAAAAAAAAAAAAAAAACAACAAAAAAAGAGGGGGAGTGTTCTGGAATAGTCAACTCACAGAACAATCACAAGTTTCAATAACTTAGAGAGGCCTAGAAAGCCTTTCAGAGATAGGAAAGCAGGCTTTAAACTAGAGCAAAAGGTCAGCTCCCATTTACTGCCAGAATTAGCTCGATGCACTTAGGTGATTGATTGACATCATGCTTCTGGATGGGCATGAGGATCCAACTCCATAGCCTGGCTTACTGAAAACTGGAGCTGGCTTCCCAAGAAAAAGGTGTGCTTGAATGAAAGGTGGTCCTAAGACCATTAGGAGACTGACAAGGATAAACACTAGCTAGGTGAAGCACTGGTGGGATCGTGACCTATCTTCCAGACAATACTCGCGTTCATCGAGTTCCACCCCACCCTCCGGTGGTGGGATTCCAGTGGACTTCCCGCAAGCCGAACATCAGGCACGCTGTGGTTCAAAGCCTGGCTCTGCCACGACCTTCGGCTGCAGAAGACCCCCGAGGCCTCGGTTTCCCCAACCGTTGAGCAAGGCCGCCTGGCAGGGCGGGGCGGCAGGCCCGGGAGGGACCCGATGCCGCCGGCCACACCGCACGATCTGAGACCCCTTGTCGGGCGTCCTGCCTGGCCCCCACGCGCGCAACCGCCACGCCCGCTCGTCGCACCTTGTACAGCCGCTGCTCATCCGGCGGCCGCTTGAGGATGCCCTCAACGATGCGCTTCAGCTCGAACACCGTACTCGACTCCTTGGCGTCCGTGAAGATGGTGGTCTTGTGGCGCCGGATCATGAGAAACACGTCCTGAGAATGGCGGGCCCGCGTCAACGCCAGCCCGCGGCCCCCGGCCGGGCCCCGGCGCCCCCGCCGCCCCCGGCCCCGCGCCCCTCCCCCCCGCGCCCGCTCACCATCCCGGCGGCTGCTTCTGGCTCGACGCGCCGGCGCGGCCACGCTCCGCCCCTTCCCGGCAGCCCAAGCGCGCCCCGGCGTGCTCCGCGCGGCCCCGCCCGCCCCGCCCCCTTCGTGCCCGCAGCCCCTCCCTTGCCGTCCCCCGCCATCTTACGCGATCCGGAAGCGGTGGCTGTGCGTGGCCGCCATCTCGGTGTCTCTAGACAACAAGCTGGGCAAAGGCTGAGGCGCTAGTATTGATGGCTCACGGGTCTGAGGCGTAAGCATGGCTTGCTTTGGAGCGTAGAGAGAGAATCAGGGAGAACGATTCAAGCGCATCGGTCCTAAAAACACATTTTTATTAGTGTTTTATCTGCATTTATTGCTGTGCGCCAGCAACATGCAATGCTTGGGGAGGCCAGCAGAGGGCGTCGGGTCCTCTGGAACTGGGGTCACAGCCGTTTGTGAGCCGCTATGTGGGTGCTGGAATGGAGCTAGCCCCTGAAAGACAGGACAAGCCCTCTTAATCACTGAACCCACATTTATTAATCATCTTAATCATCTCCAGCCCACATTTATTTAAGGTCCAGCTCATGCAGAGCTTGCGAGGGTGTAACTTTACACTCATTCTGAGATGTACAATTTTGGATCTTATCACCACTGAACCTTGTTCTCATCCAGTCTCAGGCTTGGCTCTAAGGGTTTGTTAAATTCAATTTAGGCATGCTTTGTGACCTGTTAGGAGCTAGAGAAGCTTCTGGTTTTATAGGACTAGTGCTGTGGTTATTAGGGTCAAAGCCTGACTAACTAGGCTTGGCCACCTACCTGATCACAATAATCCCAGCACTCGGGAGTTTGAGGCCAGCCTGGTCTACAGAGTGAGTTCCAAGATGTTACACAGAGGAACCCTCTGTCGAAAGACAAACATGCGAACTGTTATGCCCAAATCCACAAAGTCCCCCAAAAGTCAACAAGGAGACTGAGTCCCGTATGTAAAAGCAAAGAACCTTTAGTTGATGCAAGTTTGCAAACTCGGTCTCTCTGCATGTCCAACGTACTGGAATAAACGGAGAGCACTGAGCTCAGTTAGAGTTGGGTTTTTATAGTAGTAAAGGTGGGGGTGAGGGGGGCTTCTGAGTTTCAGGACCCCTGATTGGCTGATATTTGTCTAGGGGTGTTCTGATGAGTGTATGCTGGCAGGTGATCCTATCTACAGTGGTTGGAATGTTAGACATTTCCTTTGGATGGTCTGTTCTTGGGCTGTGCTCAAGTAATCTCTCTGGTTTTTCCTGCAACCAGGTATTGCTTGAGGGTACACTACTGAGACTCAGAGTCCTACCCTGGAAGGTGATGGTTGGAAGTAAAGAACTTCCTTTGGGTGGTCTGTTCCTACACAAACAAACAGTGGAAAGCAGAAAGCAAAGACAGATTTATCTAATGTGGCCATATAAGGAAGAGGACCAGTAACTCTCCCAAGACTGTGTGGAGTTCTTGACAGGGGTGAAGCTGAAGTGGAATAAATGAGCTGTTTTAGGCAAGGTGTGGCCCATCTTTTGACTCCCAGTGTCTCAGCTGCAGTCTCTCCTACAAGCCTTTATTCTTACACAAGTTTGCAAACTTAGACTCTCCATGTGTCTAACATATTGGAGTGATGGGAGAGACCCACGCTCAGTTGGAGCTGGATTTTTATAGTAGCAAAGGTAGGGGTGAAGGATTTCTAAGGTTCAGGACCCCTGATTGGCTGACATTTGTCTAGGGGTGCCCTGGTGAAAAGTGATGGGTGTGTGCTGGCAGGTGATTCTATCTACACATGTTGGATCGTTAGGAATTTCCTTTGGATGGTCTGTTCCTGGCTGATGCCAGCTTATGGCTTTTCCTGGAACCCAGTGCTGCCTGCTAGGGCAGCTGTGAGGCCTGGGCCCCAAGCCACTAGCCTTGTCTAATCCCAGGAAGTGTACCTGAGAAGAAATAAAGATAAACTTTTTTTTTTTTTTGGGGTTTTTTGAGACAGGTTTTTGAGACAGGTTTTTTGTAGACCAGGCTGGTCTTGAACTCACAGAGATCTGCCTGCCTCTGCTTCCTGAGTGCTGGGTGCCACCACCAAGGAATAAAGATAATATTTTTAAAAAAAAACACAGGTGAAACATGCTTATTACTTTTTTAAAAAAGATCTTATTTATTATGTACACAGTGTTCTGCCTCCATGTACGCCTGCAAGCCAGAAGAGGGCACCAGATCTCACTGTAGATGGTTGTGAGCCACCATGTAGTTGCTGGGAATTGAACTCAGGAGCACAGTCAGCATTCTTAACCTCTGAGCCATCTCTCCAGCCCTAAAATAAAGATAATCTTAAGAGTCACTTGTGACCCTCTCTTTGGCTATCAGACTGTTAAAGCGATGGTCCCCAATTAATCAGAATTCTCCCAAGAGTCTCACGCTGGAATAAGGAAAAGACTAGTCCTGAAATATGAAAGGGCTCATGCTTTTACATACGGGGCTCAGTCTCCTAGTTGGTTTTTGGGAGGGACTCCGTGATCTGGATGGTCCTAAACGCCACACAGCTTTGAAGCTCTAGGGTCCTTGAGGATGGGCAGGGTCTAGATTGTTAAGGAGGTAGGAACTCAATGCTAACTGATTGTGTTTATAGCAAATGTGGACTTCTTTACTTTCAAGACAGTGTTTCTCTGTGTAGCTCTGGCTGTCCTGGTACAGGCTGGCCTTGAACTCAGAGATCTGCCTGCCTCTACCTACCTAGTCCTGGGATTAAAGGTGTACCACACATCTGTCTAGAGTGAACTTTGCTCACTGTGATCTTACTGTAATACTAACTTCTCTGATAGAGCATTCCTACCCTACTTTAGCATTTTTATTATTTTAAATTATGTGTGTGTGGGGTGTGCGTGTGAGCACAGTGCCCCGGGGAGGCCAGGAGTTTCCTGTGGCTGGAGCTGCAGGTGCTTGTGGACTGGCGGCTATTATTGGAGCCAGAAGCCTCTGGCTCCTCAGGAGCCCTCTGAATTCTCTTTCCCTCGTGCACAGTGTCCCTCATTGGTCTTCACTGTGGTTGCCTAGTCCCAAGTCTCCCATTCTGTCAACTAGTGTCTCAGACGTGAAGGGAAGGGCTGTGGCCAGTGGCTAGGCTGCGACCGTGAGCTTCATCAGATGATCATGCCTTGGGTCCACTTTGCTGTCACACACGATTCAACAGACAGTATGGACCTGAGATCTATGCCTTGTTAGCAACTTGTGCTGACCACCCAGGAGTGGGCTGGGAGGCCAGACACAGTGCAGAAAGCACTGGGACACTCTGAAAAGCAGACTGCGGAGGTAGAATAACTGCTCTGCCACCCTGCCAGCTGTGACTGGCCTCCGTGGTGACTCTGGGCACCATATTTCTCACTTGGCAAACAGGAAAACCAAGTCTTTGCTGAAGTGGTGCAGGGAGCCCCTCCCTCCGCTCATTCAAACACACATCACAAGGAGAACAAGGTGTCATTAACTGATCCCTGCCTAGTTCTCCGCTTCTGCGATCTCTCTGGCGACCTGGTCAGACCTTAGGAATGCTGGGCTGTCTGGATAGGCTTGTGATTTATATTATGGCAAGCCCTAGCCCTGAGGTGCTTCTCTTTACGGTGTTTCCTCAGGTGCTGCCATCTTAGGCTTCCTGCAGGGTTGACTGGCTCTAGGAAGGCTGATGGTGGCGGCAGGTAACGGAGAAGGGAGTGGGGTGCAGCCCTCACAGTGACATTGTGAGCAGTCAGCATCTTCCCAGCAGGAGCTCCAGGGTCCTGCCGTAGGGAGGCACATGGCCATTTGTAGGATGCCCTGTCCTGGGCACCCTTGTCCCTATCGTCCTGCTAAAGATGGACCAGGTCTATTCTAGAGTGGACTACTCTTAGCCTTGGGCAGGAAGAGCAACCTTGAGCTCTGCCCCTTTCCTGATCTACCTAGTACTGTCCTCTGGATTCCTGGTGTAGGAGGAGACAGGGGAGAGGGGAAGAAACAGACACATTCAGGCCTTTGATCATTCTCCACCACATTTTCTGCCTCCTCATTGTTAGCTCCTCAGAGAAGGCTTCGAAATTCTCCGGATCTCTTTCTGTTTCTCTTCTCCCTGGTGCTCCAGGAGCCGACCTCTATCTATTGGTATGAGTATTCCTGGGCTTCCTGAGCCTCCTGGAGCACAGAGGGCAGGTATGTTTCCCTCTGGCATGTCTCCATGACAGTGGGGAGAACCTATGTATACTAGATTTTATGTCTCCATCACAGTGGGGAGAAACCTATGTATACTAGATTTAATGACCATGTAACAAATTGCCACAAAGGTAGCAGCTTAAAACAACATAAATTTATTAAATCAAAAACCTGTGGATCAAAAGCGTGGTGGCTCAGTTGAGTTCTTTGTTGAGGGCTTTCCCAGTGTGAAGCTAAGAGATTGGAAGATGGGAGAAATTTGTATCCAGTCTCCTGAGTGTGGGCAGAATGGTGATTACAGATTTTTCTCTCCTGCTGGCTGTCACTGCCCTGTGCTACTCGTAATGCCTGACAATGGAGACTCTCTAGCGCTGAGTTCCTCTTATGCTTTAAATCTGTCTGACTCCTCCAGGGAAACAAAGGGCACACCGGTCAGAGGAACACCAACTGGTCTCCCTTCTCTAAAGCCGAAAGAAGGAAATGCCGAAAGGAGAGGGCAGAAGTGAAACAGCGGGAACTCAGAAAATTCCCAGTGACAGAAGATGGCCTCAGGGAAGAGAGGAGGCAGGGGGATGGGCAGCCGGACTCAGCATCTCGGGCTCAGTGTAGGATGGGCCAGGAAGCTCCAGATTCGCATTATCGGCTAGTATCAGAGGCTCATGTGAGCCCTGATCCAGGGACTGTACTTGGCCACATTGGTATAGACACCTGGACGGTTGGGCAGGGCACAGCCCTTGCCCCAGCTCACCACACCCACTAGGACCCAGCGGCCGGACTCCATACAGGTCAGGGGTCCTCCAGAGTCACCCTGCAGGAAAAAGGCGAGCTTAGGTAACAGCCCTCCAGCAGCTTTTCAAGGCCACTCTTCTAGGTCCAGCTCTCTGGGGTGG